TTTTATGTAATTAAGCGCTTTAGAATATGGTATAGTTTTATCGCGGTACAAATTAATAAATTATTAAATTAATAAATTATTATTTCATTTGAAAATACATTCAATTTACTTGCTCGCTTCTATAAAGTCCGTTTTCCACTGGGCGAATTTGTTTCTGCGACCACGGAGTGAGAGCTAAATCCAGCAATATTTAACAATTAGACAACGAGGTCGAGTTGTCTATGAGCGAATAGTTAACGAGGCGAAGCCGAGTTGACTACTTGCTCATAGACAACGAGGCCGAGTTGTCTAATTGTTTTAGTATAAACTTTAACATTAATTTACAACTAGGCTGCAAACACAATACAAAAATACACAAAAAACATTATAAAACCATTAAAGGTAAACAAATATTTTAGTTTTTGTTCGCGTAAAATATTTTACAAAATTCAGTTTTAATTTTAAAATTTCATTGAGTGTATGTTATTTTGTCTATTTTCTTACCCTTAAAAATTGCCATTCCATATTTTTGTTGCTTTTTTCGGGGTTTTTTAGTACAGAATTGTTCAACAAGTCGTCCAAAAAATCATCAGACACTTCGGCAAAAGTGCAAAACGCGAATTTTCCACCATTTTGAATTTTCTATTAGTAGGCTATCACTAATAGCCTACTAGTAGCGTAGCCAATCAGAAGCCACGATATGTGATAGCCTACTAGTAGGTTTATACTAAATATGATTAGTCAGCGAAAAAAAGTCGCCGCGAAAAAGAAGAGAGCAATCCAACTTTCGATTTGATCGCTCCCTTCGCGTGAACAAATTCGCCTACAGGTAGAAAACGGGTTTAATGCAATAAGCGTCAGTACATTTGAAGTGAACTTCCATTTGTTGCGTTATGTTAACGCTTGGTGGAACCCACCTACTGAACTGCCCGTTTGATTATTTGTCTTCTGACTGCTGTTCTGTGTAAACGAAAATATTAGGAAAATATTTTTGTAATTTTAAATCATTTCTAATACAAAGTATTTCTTCGTTTCTTAAAAATTATACATTAATTTCCACTATTGAAATCCCTAGAATGACATATGCGATCATTTCTGTAGGATAACAAATTATTGGTAAACTACATACCGGCATAGATATCTTATATACACTAGATAGCGCATGTCTTTTAGTAAAATTGAAGTCAAGAATATTCCAGCGGTTACCCCCATTTGAATAGATGGCGGCCCTGTTGATAGTTCCAACTAGAGGTGTGCATCGGATCGGATTGGACGTTTATAATCCGACAATTGCGTAATGTTTAAAATCCGATCCGATCCGAAATTATCTGATCCGAATCCGATCCGAGTTTTGAAAAAGAATTCCAATCCGATTCGATCCAAAGAATTCTTTGTTGAAGTTGAAATATTTAACCAAATAAATATAAAAGCAAGAAATACATGTCAAGAAGCTGACAAGGTGACGTCCAATTGAAGTATCAAACGAATAATGCAGCGACAACCGCGCGATAAGGCGGCTTTGATAAATGCATGGATAATTAATTCTTGCTATAATGCGTGGATAATTAATTCATTTTATTTCGGATATCGAAGTCCGATCCGATCCGACTAGGAAACAACTTTATCAATCCAATCCGATCCGAAATGAATATTTTGGTTCCGAAATCCGAACGAATCCGATCGGATCGGTTTCGGATCGGATTTGCACACTTCTAGTTCCCACCCGCTAATAAACGCTTAAAAAACAACAATACTTTCATAATTTGAATAGTTTAAAAATGTATTTGGAATAGGGTTTACTTAATGTTTAAGTTCCTTGTTTCAAATAGAAAAATACGAATCTTCTCATTTCATGGGAATATCCTGAGACTGCAATCACGGCTTCGATTTTTGAATTGCAGAATAATTAGATGCACTATCTAGTGTATATAAGATATCTATGACATACACTGGTTAACTATTCTAAGTTTCAATTAAACCATACTGTCATGTTTCATAACAACTGTCAAAATTAATAAATGTAGAAAAATAGAATTAAAACAATTACTCAGTAAACCTAACTAGATTCCTTACTTTCCGAATCAACACAGATACGGAGTGTATTAAACCAAATGCCAACTTTACAACAAGACACAAAATGACTACAGTCATAATGATTGACAATGGAGCAACTATGAGAATATTTTCAATCACATTCAACACCGACAAAGTATTAGAAAAGGCAGAGTAATCTTCACCGTAATAAAGAGCTTTAATCAAAGTCAGACCACACAGGACTACGTGTGCACTAAGAGAAAGAAACTCCAGCACATTGTCACTTTTTCTCTGAAAAGGATTGACAGACACATGGAAACCAAGAATGGCAACACATACCATTAAAGCGACCAACAGTCTTAGCTGAATGTCAAAAACAAAATTCAGCGCAATGATCAAGACTAATCGACGAAAAATGAGAAAACCTTCCCAAGGAATATGTGAAGAAGGAAAACACATAAAAGCTTGATGACATCTAAAAGGACCCAACAAGACACTCAGAATCGATGCTTCACTGCCTCTGTAATTAGAAGTGGTTCTACTGTCGTCTGTTGCTGAAGTTATTTGTTCCTGTTCATTGCATTGTTCTTGACTTAATGCTTCGTTATTCTGTTCTATCGTGTTATATGTCCCCTGATTTACCCGACGACAGTCCTTAAGCAACAAATACATCCAAAAACAACAAAATGGCAGAGGGAAAATGCAAGCGGCACAAAATTGTTTAACACCAATGCGACCAACCTTTAACAAGTAAGAACCGAGAACAGGAACAAGACAAAATGGCAGAATGGAAGAGATCATATAAGCAAAAATAAAATATTGAAATGTTTGGTAACATTTTATATTTCCATCAAGAAACAAAACCAGACTGTCACCAACTGGTACACAGTGAAGCAAGGAGAGACAGAGTTTAGCTGATGTGGCGTACATTAATAACGAAATGTAAGTGAAGGCTGAGGCAACTCTTTGGGAAAATGATGATTTTCTGGCGCTATTAACTTGTTCGAAACTTTCTACATATTGCAAAACTAAACGTCTTTCACCTCCTCGTTTTATTCTTCTTAAAAACAGAATCAGCATACCAACCAAATGAAGTAGACAAAGAAGAACCAAAA